GAAATCTTGACTATTCGTATCATCCAAAAATTTCAGCCATTTGTTTTGACTGCTCAAGCAACATGAATATTATATATATATATTAGAGAGAGAAAATGTATGTGCTGATAAATATGCCAGCATGAAGATGATGGTGAAATCAGACTTGTATACGCATGGGTTGACCCGCTAAACAGTTTATTCCCTTTTTTGTAGAGTTTAGTACTTTAGTTGGATTTATTGGGAGTTTTTTCTTTACACTTTTCCACTGCATTTTTAATGCATCCACATGCATCTCCTGACTGTAAAAGTTTGTCAACTGCATTTGCTGCCAAACAAAGCCAATCCAATACGGCACCATCATCCTCATCCTCCTCCTCCTCCTCCTCCTCATTATTATTATTATTATTATTATTATTATTCAATCAATAAAATAAAATACAATATAATTTAAATTTTAAAAAATAAACAAAATAATTTTTATTTTTCGAGGTTGAGATCTCTTTAAATTTTACTTTAAGTTAATCTGACAGTTAATATTAATACCTCAAATTTAATACGAAAAATAGGTCTCTAAGAGTGTATTTGAGTTAATTTTTTAAAAGTACATTTAGTACTTATAACTTTTCATAAATACTTTAAAAAAAAATAATTTTTAGAACTTTTCCACCCTCACCGCCCAACAAACATCACCACTGCCATCTGACAACCACAACTACCCCCACCACCCCTTCCCCTAACACCACCATCTCAACTACCATCACCACCACCACTATCAACACCCCACTACCACCTTTGCCACAACAACAACTACTACTAGCGTCAGCGCCCCTGCCAACACCATTATTGCCACCCTAACTCCACCACCACACCCATTGTGCCACTACCACCATCATCATTACATTCACCTTTGTTGTCCCATCACCACTAAACCTTAAAACAACCACCATTATTGTCCCATCACCATCGTTGCCACTGCCACCACCACTGTTGCCATCTCACCATCATTATCGTCCCACCATTACCATCCTCATTACCTTCACCCTCCACCACCACCACCATCACCATCACCATCACCGCTATTGACACCCTATAAACCACCGTTATTGTCCTACCATCACTACTTCCACCNTTTGGATAATTAATTATTCAGTAATGTGACTTAGAGATAATGTTACTACCACACTCAATTTATGATGTGGAGTTAAAATTATGAAATAAAATGCAAGACGTTATTATGATAGCGTACGAAATCTTGACTATTCGTATCATCCAAAAATTTCAGCCATTTGTTTTGACTGCTCAAGCAACATGAATATTATATATATATATTAGAGAGAGAAAATGTATGTGCTGATAAATATGCCAGCATGAAGATGATGGTGAAATCAGACTTGTATACGCATGGGTTGACCCGCTAAACAGTTTATTCCCTTTTTTGTAGAGTTTAGTACTTTAGTTGGATTTATTGGGAGTTTTTTCTTTACACTTTTCCACTGCATTTTTAATGCATCCACATGCATCTCCTGACTGTAAAAGTTTGTCAACTGCATTTGCTGCCAAACAAAGCCAATCCAATACGGCACCATCATCCTCATCCTCCTCCTCCTCCTCCTCCTCATTATTATTATTATTATTATTATTATTATTCAATCAATAAAATAAAATACAATATAATTTAAATTTTAAAAAATAAACAAAATAATTTTTATTTTTCGAGGTTGAGATCTCTTTAAATTTTACTTTAAGTTAATCTGACAGTTAATATTAATACCTCAAATTTAATACGAAAAATAGGTCTCTAAGAGTGTATTTGAGTTAATTTTTTAAAAGTACATTTAGTACTTATAACTTTTCATAAATACTTTAAAAAAAAATAATTTTTAGAACTTTTCCACCCTCACCGCCCAACAAACATCACCACTGCCATCTGACAACCACAACTACCCCCACCACCCCTTCCCCTAACACCACCATCTCAACTACCATCACCACCACCACTATCAACACCCCACTACCACCTTTGCCACAACAACAACTACTACTAGCGTCAGCGCCCCTGCCAACACCATTATTGCCACCCTAACTCCACCACCACACCCATTGTGCCACTACCACCATCATCATTACATTCACCTTTGTTGTCCCATCACCACTAAACCTTAAAACAACCACCATTATTGTCCCATCACCATCGTTGCCACTGCCACCACCACTGTTGCCATCTCACCATCATTATCGTCCCACCATTACCATCCTCATTACCTTCACCCTCCACCACCACCACCATCACCATCACCATCACCGCTATTGACACCCTATAAACCACCGTTATTGTCCTACCATCACTACTTCCACCCTCACTGCCCCCACCAACATCACCACTACCACCCCACAACCACAACTACCCACACCACCCACACTATCCCACCCCCCCCCAACACCACCATCTTAACTACCATCATCACCGCCACTATCGTCATCCCACTACCCCCTTTGCCACAACAACCACCACCACTAGCGTCGGCACCCCCGTCACCACCATTATCGCCACCACAACACCCACTGCACCACTACCATCATCATCATCACCTCCACCTTTGTCGTCCCATCACCAATACCACCCCTACCACCATCACCATTGCCCCATCACCATCGTTGTCGTTGCCACCACCACTGTCGCCACCCTACCACCATTATCATCCCACCATACCATCTTCACTATCCTCACCCCCCACCATCGATGTTGTCACCATATAACCACCATCACTATCCTACCATAACTACCTCCACCATCATCGCCACCCCCATCACCACTACTATCGCCACCCCCACCACCGATTGATACTACTGTCGTCCACCGTCACCACCCACCACCATCGTTATATCATTCTTATATTTATTATCACTATTACAATTATCCCACTACCATCGTCGTTCGCTGTCAACACCTACCCACCACCCATCGTCACCTACTACCACAATCTACCCCTACTCATCGTCGCTCACCATCATCGTTAACCACTATCACTGACCCCCAACATACCTACCACCACCAACACCAGTCATTACCCACCACTACCGACACCCACCCCACCACATTTACCACACCACCACCGTCATTCATCACTACCTATCACACTATCACCTAGAAGCACTCGTCATCGTCCCACACTACTATTGTCACTGCCCCCCATCACAACCCACCACTGCAACCACCATTGTCGTCGGCCCACCACCTCCCACACTCAATATCACCACTGTCGTCACCCATGATTACTACGACCGCCATCGTCACCCCAAATTCATCATCGTTGCCACCCACGGCGGTTACCATCACCACAATTGTAGCCACCCATTACCAGCACCGTCTCCTACCACCATTATCATCGCTTACTCCGACTACAACTGATGATTAATTTTTTTTATCTTCTCTATGTTTTTGATTTGATTTTGGGTGTGAATATAAATATATTTATTATTGATCATTTTTTTTTATTACTCTGTGCCTTCAGACACAAGCAATAACTAATACGTTGATACAATAAATTTGTCAATATAAAATCACTCCCAAATATTTTTATTTCTATTGGAGACCACTATAAATTGACTAAATTAACTTTTCCTACATGTTTATCTGTGCATGACATGTGATCTTAACTCTCTATAACAACCACTAAACACTAAAAATAGGTAATCTATAATTATATCTATATCTATACTATTATAAAATGTCAATAAAAATGAAAAAATTTTGTTTGACTAAAATAACCTTGATAACTTGAGTAATGCCCATATTAAATTGCTAATAAATTGCTCTTGTATTTTTCTTAAATGCTACATGTATTCTATATGTCAAGCATGAGTTAAATATTTTCATCGGTCACTCATAATGTTGCATCTTCAATTCATCCAATCCGTAGTTTAGTTTTCTTCAAATTTTGGGTATATAAAACTCATTGTTATCAATTTAACAGTTCAGTATTAATAGTTTTCTCCCTTTTAATTTTTAATTCATCTTATATCTCATATTCTTGTACTTGCTCAAACTATAGGTTTATGGGATTTTTTCTTGTGGTCATCAAATTTTACTTCTTTGTTTCTATGGTTTATGGTTGTAGGTCTGAATTTCTATGTTTCTTGTAAAGGGTATACATATTTCTTCAAAAAGTGCATTGTTTTATTCATCATTAATGAAAGAACATGTTCATATGACCTTTGTAATCATGAGTTTCTATTTGCATTCCTATGACTGATAACTCAATCATTTTGTGATTGATTATTTTTATTAATCTAATTAATTTTGATTGCTTGTAGTAGGTTTGTTGGCAACAACTTGAGAAAAATAAAGGCTATATCAAACTATTGTGGGCTTCATATATTATGTGAAGTTTGATTGCACGTTTTTTGGTTATTGAGAATTAATATAACTACGAAAAGAAAGGGAATTGACAGAAAAAAATATCATTACGTCTATATGTATTGTTATATTTGAGACTGTTGTAGTAGAATATATGTTTGTGTAAATGTACAGACATATGAAAAGAAGTTATTTGTGTATATGTGTACTTATGGTTATGAAAAGAAGTTATTTGTGTATATGTGTACTTATGGTTGTGTGTGCGTTTATATACCATCCTTATAAGCCTAATTATTGTTGTTATATACAAAATGACTTAAATATTCAAGTACTTGATAAGGTGTACCGGAATTTGTGATATTTATGTGTATGTCAAAAATTAGTCTAAGTTCTTTGAATCCTTTTGCAATTATAGATTTGATATTTAGTTCAAGTTTTGTTAGAGGCTAAATTTTTGTGGTGCAAAGAATAAATAATCTTTATTAAGTTAAAAATTTTAATATGAAAACGGTCCACGTGTAACACACGTGTACACCAACTAGAAATACTAAACACATAAAGATTTTATAGATAATTTTATGTGGAAGGAAGATAAGGAGAAACCTATTTAGCAGTTTTGAATGGAAAGATCAATCAAACAAAATAAACTCAAGAGAAGGAGCGTAACATTCTTTATTCCAGAACGAATAATCATTATTACCATGATATATACCACTCAAAAAAAAATCACAAGTTACATTATTGGAATGAAATTTTCTTATTAAAAAATTAATTGCAAATTATTTTTCCATGCACTTAATTAAATGCACTACAATCACGACGAATATTCCCATTTTTTGCCGTCTTGAGACCAATCCGACCCATTTTGGTAATGGCTGAGATGAAAGCTTGCTGGAAGGCAGATGAGTTGTTGGCCCAAACATTTACTGCGGGTTTGGATCTCCGGTCGGTAAAGAGGACTTGGTCCGACGTGAATAGGCCTTTGCCTTGCTGGAGATTTTTGAAGTAGACATTGTCAAAGATTCTGGGAGTGTTTGGGTCCATGTTGATGGCTATCCTTGGGTCCACATTTCTCGGGCACATTGTCTGCAAGTCGTTCGCGTATTGCGGGTTGAGCGTGGTGTCCACTGGGTTCTTAGGGCTGAAACTGTATATCCTGTTTGCAAATTTGCTGCAGTGGGAGAATCCGACGGTGTGGGCCGCTGCGCAGTATAGAACTGAGTCAACGGATGCAACATAATATGATGCAGCATACAACAACTTATCTTTGTTCTATAACTTGAGCCATCGTTTAGGAAAGGCACATTTGGAGACTATTTTCTTAAATTAATATGTATATATGATATATGATAAATATATGTAATTTTGTATTATCTATCAATATTACAATTTTTTATCTAATATTATATCTAGCAGTTTGAACTACACATTTATAAAAGCACAACAATGGTTGATATGAATACATTTTATTGAATGGTATAAAATTCATTGAAAAAAAAAATTCACCCCAAAATATTATTTTTGTGCACGATTCTCAATATTGGACAACTCAACCAATATGCTATTTAATATTTGTCTCTATCTTATTTTCTATTTGTCTATTTTAATTTTAAATTATGTAATTAAAAAAATAAAAAAAATAATATTATTTAAAATATAAACGTTACACCATCAATGTTCAATTTTTGATAGTGTAAAACATCTTTAGGCACAGGGTTGGTAATAGTTATACTATATTTGTGAGAAAAATGTGAAACCGAGATAACAAAAGAAAAAATGCCTTTTTTTTATGAATACAAATACTAGTTAGCGTTTTGCTTTTTAATTTTACTTTTTTTTTTGGCTATTTTTTAAAATTATAATTTGATCATAAAATCAAAAAATTAAATAAAAACGTCGCTAAACAATAATTTAATATTTTCCTCCAATAGGCCAATCATGGATTTTTATTTTAAAATTAAAGAAGGGTCCCTCTACAATATCATTTATGTTGACTTAATAAGATGTGTGATGGTGATGTGCACAAAATATACAGTCATGCAAGCAACAAATTTTCAAACTTAATTCATCTTGGACTCTCTCAAATGCTAGCTGGCAATTAACAAAACCCCATCGAAAAAATTGTAACAAAAAGTTAAAAATTGACTCGTCGATTTTACATTAGGAATCCAAATCTTATCGAACTGTTCGATATACTCCACTTTAATCTTTAATCTTATTCTCAAAATATGAGTAAAACACAATTTTAATTGGAAAACGATGTCTTATTATTGATCGCAAAATTCGGGGTTTGTTAAATTTAGGTATGGATACATGTATGTTTTTTAATTAAAGGTATAAGTTAGATCTGTATTTGACATATCATTTTGATCAAGGACAGAGCCAAAAAATTGTTCTAAGGTGGGCACCGTATATTTTAACAAGTTTAATTTTTTTTTCTTGTATTTGATAAAAATAGAATAATGTATTTATATTTAATTATATCCTATTTAATTCTTAAAAGTTCATTAAACTTAAAAAACTAAAATTGCTAAGCATATTAGATACAAATGACAAAAAAAAAAGAGACTAATTATATCTTTTTACCAAACAAAGGCTAATCAAAACTATTTAGAATTCAATCCGATGAATTTTCATACGTTGAAAGTTTTGCATTAACTTTATTATTATTTATATCTACAATCATATTATCATTTAGTTATTTATCATTCATTCGATTATAAAATAAAATATATTTATCTATTATTTCAGTGATAATTACTAAAATAAATATCAAAATTAGAAATAAACTCATGGATTTGCCATGCCTTTTCTGGTTTTGGCTAAAAAATAGGGTGGACACAATTTAATACATTGAAAAAATACTTAAAATATATAGAAGTAATTTTAGAAAAAAAAAAACTTTGAGGGTGGGCGTGTGCCCCCCATGGGTATAAGGTGGCTCCGCCCCTGATTTTGATTAGATTCTAATTTATACAGGGAAATTTAATTATTAATATATCTCATCAACATGTAGTAATAATATTCAGCCAACTTTGTCAGCTTGTATGACATTACTGAAACTAGAGGACATGAAACTGNTTCCAAGACTTGATCTAGGAATGGTAAAGGGAAGTGATCTTTTCTTGTAAGAGAATTTAGCTTTCGGTAGTCAATACATACACACCAACCTGTAACTGTACGCATTGGAACTAATTCATTTTCTCAATTTATTTTTATTGTAACACCATATTTCTTAGGAACTACTTGTGTAGGACTAACCCATTTACTACTAGATATAGGATAGATAATATTAGCATCTAATAGTTTAAGTACTTCAGCACGCACTACTTCTTTTAAGTAGGGATTCAATCTTCATTGCATCTGTCGAGATGGTTTAGCATTGTCTTCCAAATAGATAAAATGAGTACATAAANTTTTTTTTTTTTTCTTGTAATATAAACTTAGGAATACAAAGTTTCATCTACCTCAATTATTGATTTTGAATTAAAGTGTTATGTAACTATTGGTTAAAAAATTAAAAAATAATAAAATAATAAAAAATCATTTTTTGATACGGTAACGGGACTCTAAACTTAGAGAAAACTTGGTAAGCTGTGATTGTAATGAGATAGCCATGTGGTCTTTACCTGAAAGAGCAATCATGTCTAACTGAGTTAGGCCATTGGCAGTGAACATGGCATTAAGCTGATTCAAATTGAAGCCTGGCTGAGGCAGCTTCCCATTAACACTTGATGCTGTTGAGCTCAACCCATCTAGTCTTCCCAACTCCACATCATATGAAGGTCCTCCAGCCTGCATTACATATTCTAAATATCAAACTTAGCCATGTATGTGGTATGGTTCAAGTTCGTGCTATTGATCATCGATTCAGAGGGTAATGGATAGGAGAGATGATGAGAGATTAGGCCATATTGTGATATCATAGAATGGTATCAGTCGTTGCACTCCAATTCGATGACAGTACGACTCAACTGAGTCATCCAAGACCAAGACATCTCTAAGTCAACTCCAAGGTGAGTGAGACTCATGGTTTACACAAAACACATACTGTTCTCGAAATAGAATGTGTCATATGGAATATGACTCAACAGAGAGACACACAATTAGAAATTGAAGAGGGTATGAAATTGTAGACTAGGAAGAAAAGTACAAACCAGTGCAATAACATCTCTTGCCGCCATGGCAAGAATATCAGCACAGGAGACCTTATTCTTGCAGTTTGGGTTTGCATCAACAGCTGCTTTAGCCTTGATCACAGTGTCAAATCCATCTCCGGCCAACGACAAATTGTCCGGGTGGTCCTTCTCAGCCGTGTTGGTTGCAGTAGACGCAATTATAATAGAAGCATCACAACCCTGTTTTCAAAAAAAAAAAAAAAATTACTTCACCTTCGATCAAAATTCAACTTAAATGTACAGTCGACAATCATCATTGAATATTAACTTAAGTTTTTTAGAGTAGTTGATTTTCGATAATTGTTACCTTGACCCAGCAATCATGGAAGAAGAGTCGGATAGTTGCAGGGACCGTGACAAATGTTTGCTTAAATTTTTGTGTTACGGCGTTTCTAACAATGGATTCGACGTTGGGGCAGACATTGGCGTAGTAGTTTCTTCGCAGTTGTGCCGATGCCGGGTGGATGAATACAGAAACAGTAAGCAATAGTGACAACAAAGGTATTAGAAGATTAAACCGAGCCATCGGTTCAAAACTATGTTTAGATGGTGGAAGAGAAGAGAAGAGAAAATTGCAGAGTTTGATGTGGGTCACTTTGTAATGTTGAGCCAAAGGTTTAAGATATATATAGACAAGAAAAGTTGGTATTGAAGCCAGTTGGCCAGGAATCTTTTTACAACAAAGAAATATTATTGTAAATAACAGCGATGTTATAAGACAGAGACATTGATGTGGGCCTTGTGAATGAGAGGCTGTCAACTAATTGAATTTTGATTAATTTGAATATGAATACAATTTAATAATAAATCTTAATCTGATCTAAACATGTGAAATTTTTTGTTTTTATAGTACATATTCAACAAATTTTGTTTGCATAATCCAGATTCAAAATTTGCTAAAAGTCGAAAATTTGACTCAAAAGTCGATCAAATACAAGTAACTTTAGTAAAGCACTTGCTATATTTAAATCTAATCACTAAAATTCATGACATAACCGTTGTGGGTTATTTTATCATAGTAAATGTGTTTTTGACCGGATCGGAGATAAAATTAATCAATGAATAGTATTATGTATTCTAAATTTGTAATTCAAATTTGTATTTCAAATTAAAGAGGATCATTGGATCAGTAGGTCCCATCAACTTTTTTAAATGAAACTTACTGATCCAATGATCCTTCTTAATTTGGGATGCAAATTTGAGTTACAAATTTGAGATATATATCATTACTCTTAATTAATATACGTAAATTAGTTCGAACAATCTTCACTGTTGAACTAAAAAATAAATATTATATCATTATATTGGAATAAAGATTCAGTTAATCGATAGAAAAATCAATCAATTTGGATCAAAATCTAATCCTTTGCCGACCCTTGTGATGTGTGTATGGCAGCCTTTGCTTTTTAGATTCGTTCTAACTGCTCCCATCTTTTCCTAAAATTTTAAGGGTTGAAAGCAAGAGATTGAATCACGCAACGTGGTCCAAGTAGGAGCAGCCCAGAGCAAAAGACAGATAAATTAGTGTGTGTGTGTGAGAGAGAGAGAGAGAGAGAGTGAGAGGCAGCTGGCTAAATGGAAACAAGTAAAACGTGGCATACACGTTAAGACAGCTTTCTGTGGGTTTTTCTAAACGTAAAAATACTTCACATAAGCCAAGAACATGTTCCAATCTCAGCCATCATAATGATTTTAAAATTATAGAAGAGTGAGTCAAGCACAATTTTAAAATATTTTTTATATGAGAAATCTGTGAGCCAACAAGACATACCCAAATCAAATGCCTATATTCATGGGCCACCGTTTGAGAGCATAAAAAAAAATGTCACCTCTTCAAGTCAATTACACAATTCTATTCATGAAAAATTAATGGGATACGGTAAGTAATAAGCAATAGCCCATAGTTATGCATTTTGTGTCGTATTGGTATTAACTTTTTCTATATTTGTAATTACTCATGCTTTTAATTTGAGTTTATTGATGTTAAAAAAAATCAAAAGATTGAATTATCTAATGAAAATAGTCACAACCACACTTGAAGGGTATTTTTTATTATTTAAACAAAATTTTAGGGTATTAGCTTAATTTTATATTTTTAAAAATTGTTGAATGAATTCCTTAGTTCTGTCATTCAAGTGAATGTTTCTTTATAGTGATAAGGGAAAGACAAAAAGAAAGTTCTAGCAATACATAGAAATAAAAATTTCATTTCCTAATAACATAGAGGTGGAGGGAGCGAGTAGTCGTACATTGCGGACGGGAGGGTCGTAGAGGCAGAGGAGGGGGCAGTGAAAGTGTTGAGGGTGAGGGTGGTGGTGATATATTAGACGAGGAAGTGGAAGTGATCTCTAGGGTGGGGTAGACATCAAGGGTTTCAGGAATTGGGTGGGAAAGAACAAGAAATGGAAGGGTGGGAGGATGTGGTAGAGTGGAAAAAGGAAAGACCACTTCCTGGAAAGTCACATCCCTAGAGCAAAAAAAATTGTTGGAGTCAAGATTGAAAAGAATTGAAAACAAGTAATATGACCTCAACCAAAATCAGTGAGGAGATGTACTGACTTTCTCTCATTTATACCAGCTATGAACATACAAGAATTAAGGACTAGATTACATCAAAATAAATGATAACATGATAATGAAATTGTCAACAACACTTTGTTCTGATCAGTAACAGTCATTGATTGGTATAGTCTTCTATTAATGGTGGGCTTCCATCACTTGATACCAAATTTCGAGTAGGAAAAGTGCCATCAGAACTCCTATACAAAAATATCTCACAGCAACTCTTCTCTTGATTGATTTCCTACTTGTGATCAGAATCTACATTTATCTCAGAGAGGCTCTTACTTGCAGTGCTCGGACTCTTCTCTATATTTTGGATAATGTCTTGATTCTCAGCACTCCTCCTCAAGTTGAGGTGGGAGACACATATCGCACCCAACTTGCAGCGAAGAGTCCAAAAAAACTCTCTAGACAATGTCTTGGTGAATATGTCGCTTAGCTGATCAGCAGAGCAGACAAATTGTGTAATAATTGTTCCTTGAGCAAACTTTTCCCGAACAAAATGATAATCCAACTCAACATGTTTTGTTTGCGCATGAAAAACAAGATTAATGGAAAGATGTAAGGCGCCTAGATTATCACAAAACAAAGTAGTTGGCCGTTGTAAACCTAATGCACGAAGAATATATGTGACCCAAGTAATTTCAACAGTTGTAACCGTGAGTGCACAATATTCAGCTTCAGTATTTGATCGAGCTACTGTAGGTTGTTTCTTAGCACACCATGAAATAAGATTTGAATCAAGAAATGTTGCATAACCTGTTGTAGAGCGACAAGTCAGAGGACAACCTGCCCAATCGACATCCAAAAAAGCATACAACTCAAGAGCATTTTTTCTCAACAAATGAAGACCATAATGAGAAGTTGCTTGAACATAACGAAGAATGCGTTTGACTAAAGACATAAGAGAAAGGGTGGGATTATGCATATATTGACTGACTAAATTTACAGAATAAGTGAGATCAAGACGAGTTAAGGTTAAATATTGAAGTGCTCCCACAAGGCTACGAAAAAAAAGGGGATTAGTGAGAGTGTCAGTAGATGCAAGGCAACTAGTCTTTGTGGCTAATGGAGTTGCAATTGGCTTGCAAGTATCCATTTTGGCACATGATAAGATATCACGAGCATACTTATGCTGCGAAAGAAGGATACCGTGAAGAGTAGGTGTAACTTCAATGCCAAGGAAGTAACGCAAGTCTCCCAAATCTTTATAGCAAAGTGGTCATTGACTGTTTTAAGGAATACGGGTAACAATCGGTGGTTATTACCTGTTAGGATAATATCATCCACATATAAAAGTAAAATGGGAGTGCCCGTAGAATTGTGGAGATAAAACAAAGAAGGATCGAGTTGAGAACAAACAAATCCAAAGGAGATAAGAAACTGACTGAATTTGTCAAACCAAGCACGAGGAGCTTGTTTCAACCCATAGATTGCACGGGAAAGCTTGCAGATATAATTTGGAAAAATTGAATCAATGAATCCTATTGGTTGATCCATGTATACGGGGTCCTTTAAGGTGCCATGAAGGAATGCATTTTTGACATCCAACTGTTGAATCTTCCAATTTCGGGAAAGTGCTAAAGTGAGAACAATTTTGATTGTTTGGGGTCGAATAACGGGGCTGTAAATGTCACCAAAATCCATGTTTGCAAGTTGATGAAATCCTTTTGCAACAAAGCATGCCTTCAATCGATTAAGTGTACCATTAGCATGAAGCTTGGTTTTGAAAACCCACTTACACCCAATTACATGTTGGGATTCATGTCTTGGAACTAAAGTCCAAGTATTATTCTGATGAAGTGCTTTCAATTCTTCACGCATTGCACCAAGCCATCCTGGATGAGACATGACTGCTTTTACTTACTTGGGTTCACAAGGAATAGTAACTGAAGGAGAAAAGGATGCAACATGGATAAGTCCAGCACGAGTTTTGCCTAGAGTCTACATTGAATGGATAATTAGTTGATATTTAGATGATGAATTTGAAGGAGTAGGTGCCCTGACATCCATATATAAGTTATCAGATTGGAAATCATGAGAAGAAAAAGAGTGGTTTCCTTGTTCTGTTGATTCCAACTCGTCAGTAGGAGCAGACTGATCAGAATACTCCTCTTATTCCGTTGTTGCAGGTGTTAATGCTCTTGGTAATGGTTGTTCTCTTTGTATGATAGGTTCAATAATGTTGAGAGATGAAGATTGGGGAAAGACAGCGTCAACGTTCTTTGTGCTCTGCTGAATGACACTATCCATGATTGGCTGGGAATGTGAAGCTAAAGAAGAAACATTGATTGAATGTGTGCTTGTAGAAGACTCGCTCCCTGAAGATAGTGGTATTGGACAATTAGTACTTCCCTTGATCGTACTAGAATCAAGACTAGTGGATCTGGTATCAACTTTCGAATAACTCTATTCATGATATGTACTTATATTTAGCGGTTGATGAGTGGAACTGGGAGAAGTATCATTAATGTTGGAAGGTAAAAACGGAAAACATAGTTCATTAAACACAACATGTCGAGAGATATAAGTCCGTTCAGTTTGAGGATGCAAGCATCAATAACCCTTATGAAGAGGGTTGTAACCAATAAATACACATGGCAAGGTTTTCTTTGAAAATTTATTCTTACTGTAATCCTTGAGATAAGGATAACATCTGCATCCAAAAGCTCTTAATGATGAATAATCAGGACTTTTACAAAATAAGAGATTATAGGGTGAGACCATATTAAGTGTTGTAGACGACAATCAATTAATAAGAAAAGTAGTCATTGAGAAAGCATCAACCCATAATCGTTTGCTTAATCCAGAATGAAACAACATTGTCATAGCTAACTCTCAAATATGTCGGTGTTTTCTTTCCATGACACCATTTTGCTATTGGGTTGATGGACAAGAAACTTGTCGAATAATTCCATGTGTAGATAAATAGAGAAGAAGGGTGTTTTCTCCAAACTCACCACCACCATCGCATTGAAAGATTTTGATATTCATTTCAAATTGATTGTGCACCATTGTATGAAATTGCTTGAAACAAGTGAAGAAATCAGATTTATA